AGAAATATTGTTAGGCAAAGAAGAAAACATTTGTTGCATCTCGTCTTTGGCAATTGTCCACATTTTTATAGCATCACGTCTAAGGGTTTGACGACTTACCGGCCTGTAWCGTGGTTGTAGCGTCTTTTGAATCATCTTCGTAACGTGAGGGTTGTCGAAGTGTCCAAAGGGCAAACCGACTTGAATGACACATTGTGTAGTCATTTGTCGGTTTAAATCGGCATCGTAGTTCCATATTTGACCTTGTGTGTCAAGTATCGGTTGGCTCGAACTCGAATCACCCGCCGACCGGTTCCCCGGGCACGTTTTTTCGGTGTGCCTTCTTAACGTAGAATTTCCTTCCACCGTAAGGAGAGTTTGACACATTTTGCATAGTGCCTTTCGTTTCCCGGTCGTGAGAATCACCAAGTTGTAGTGATTCCAAATCTCGGACTTTCGTTCGTGTTCGGCGATAACTTGGGCAATTTGTTCGTTTGAGGGTTGTTCACCGGTCATTTTGTAAATCGTAGGTAAAAGAGAGAAATAAACGAGAATTGTGAAGTGGAAACGAGAAATTAATACGTAACGAATTCAACAAATGAAGCGAAAAACCGAGAATTGWGASCGTTTTTTGCGTTTTTGAAGATGAGAAGTGTTGGTAACTAACTAAGGAACTTCCATCTCTATTTATACATGTTTTGGTAGCTAAAAAGATGAAAAAAACAGTCATAACGGTAACTAACGGCTAGTTTGACTTTCTAACGGCTAGTTTGACTTTCTAACGGTAACGTTCACTTTTTCGTTGACCGGACCGGACCGGGCCGGGCCGGGCCGGGCACATAAGCGGTTGTGTAACCGGTTTCGGTCCAAAAAATCGTGAATTATCCTAACCGGTTCGTAACCGCCGGTCCTTAACCGGTTATGGCCGGTCCCGGTCGGTTACGGTTATGAGTCGGGCTCGGTTACGGGCCGGGCCGGTTACAAATGGCCATCTCTAGTTGAGAGGGGCGATCCCATATATCGAGATGGACCCCAAAAATTAATTATATATATTTTTTTACTTTTTGTACTTTTTAGTCAATGTTGACTAGGATCACTCCATAGTCAAACCAATTACCATCTATATAGTTATTTTGGTAATTCTCGAAAAAAAAAAAATTACGACTATTTCGTTAATATATCTATATTTGGTGGTTACGGTGATTTTCCTTATGGTTGGAATCATGCCATTAATCAAATATTACTTGATCCACAGAAATGGAATCATGATCAAATTGTTGAAGAAATTGTTGACTGTTGCTGATAGAAGATGCGATTCATCATCAGAATATGCCTCAAGATGGATTTAAGGAAGTTCCATAAAGATGAAGAACTGAAAACCAAACCCCTAAAAAGTAGGGTTTTTGTCTTGATTTGTGGCGGTGAAAGTGACAACGACGTGGAGAGGGAGCAATTGACTAGGAATCTAAGCTTTGAATTCACACAACCACACGTTAGGTGCGATGCATACAACTTCAACTACTTCTCTGCAATTTTAATTTATTAAAGAAATTGCATCACCACATGTATGGGAGTGGGCAGGCTGCTGGCAGTCCTGTACCTTACGTTTTCTCCTTTTTACACCTTTTCTTCATTTATATATATAATTTATATAGGCTATATATTAGGTTCTTTTGACTTATAGGAATTGACAATTTCTAGAAGATCATTCCTCCTGCTGCCTTCCTTTATATCAGTTTTAGATCAGGGGTTGCTATATTCTGCTTCTCTCTAGGAGGTTTTATTGATTTCAGGTGCGTTTTGATTTTGCATTTTCTTTTGTTTGAATTGAATTGTCGTGTCTTGTTTTGAAACCAGACGGATATTGAAATGAAATTGCTATTTCGGAATTTTGCAAAAAATGAATATTTGGAATTAGACGAGTTGAAATTGCTGTTAGTTTGGATGATTAAACCAGTTCATGAGCAGTTGAAAACATAGGATTAATATGAAGAAATAGAGTTCGAGGATAACAATTATATAGATAGGGATTTTGGTTGTTTTCAGCAACGTAAATGCTTCCAGGATTTAGCAACCAAACTTAAGGTTTGCACCAACTTTTTTTCTGAGTTTTTATGAGATGCTGAAAGAAATTTGATTCTACCCAAAATTTATTGGTAATTTGCTATCCAATTCATGTATGTCTTCTTCTTTTTTGGGGAAGAGGGGGGGGGGGTTGGATGTTCAATGTTCTATAACAAGATCTATCCTTGAGGTTTGATGTTGTGAATGGTTATCTCAAACACCAGTGTTTCTCTTCCAATTGGTTTCAAGTTGGAACCTAGAAATTTACAAGTTGTAAGCATCGTCAGTTTGCAGCAACAATGGGTTTTAACACTTCAAGAGAGCATTTTCTGATTATATTGTGAAAAAGTTATGTGCCCAAATATAAAGTTGTGCATCATAGTGGCAGTCATTTGTTGAACATCATGCTACTCCTAACTAAGTTGTATTGGCTTTCTTCTTTTGATGTTCTGTATTAAATCCTTTAAAACTGCAAACAAGTAGGATATCCAGCATGCCTTTGGTTCCATGTGTACCATTTATTGCCATTTCTATTTTACTTTTAAATCAAGTGTGTTTCCTGCACCAACTGATTGGAGTTTGTTTTCCTTTTACCTTTCTGTCATCAAGTTTGAGGTGCTAAAGTTATATGTTAAAATGCTCATTTTCTACGTAGATTTGTGCGCCTAAAATTTGGATTTCCTTTTATCTTCCCTTAAGTTGATCCTTCACCCAATTTCAGTTCACACAAAGTGCTAATTTTATCATGCTTGTCCTACAGCGGTGAATTGTTGTATTGCTTCTGCAATGTCGAGTTTGGAGGAGCCTCTTGGTATGGACAAGTTGCCAGGTCTAAGCACCATTGATCTTTTCCAAAGATTCTCATCCAATGGCTGCAGCACAAGCCGAGGGGACACTGGAATGGGAAGTTGCTGGATTGAGCAAAATACTTCCAGCTCATCGAATAGCTATGAGTATGTGTCTTTAACTAACTTGTTAGTGCTTTTATGACATGTCTGTGTCCTGTATTTCTGCAGTAAGATTTACCATATGCTGATGCCCTCTCAGTTTCCTTGATTTTCTCTTGCATCTTCTGGATAAAATTGGTAGCACCTTTTGAAAATTTTCTAGGTCAAATGGACTACTTTTCAACTTGAAAAACATACAATAATTTTTTGAAAAATTAATACAGATAGTACATACATGAATTGAAAAGCATTAGAGTCAAAGTGTACTTTTTATTCCTCTAAAAATTATATACTGCATTTTTATAATGCTGAATTAAACACAAACAAATCGGGGGGGGGGGGGGGGGGGTTATGGTGTTGGACCTTTCCTCATTAAGGAATCCACTGATATTAACTTGACAGCCTGCATATTCTCAGGGAAGATTTTGAGTATGAGCAAGAAGCATTCACTTGGAGGCACCATGCAAGAGATATTCCAGAGAATGACGTTATTTGTCGAAGCCAAGGGAGGAACTATGCAGCATATGGAAATCGGTGTGATTCACGACATTTAGCCAACCTTCAGCATAACTCATACTGCAATGATGTATGCCTACAGGACATAACAAATAAGGTGACTAACCAGCCTGCAAGAATATTTGTGTAAAAGAATATCAAATTATAGGCTGTTACATTTAGCTCACTGTAGGTCAAATCTTAGGAGAACAAAAAATTTGAACTACATTGTCTATATTGCCATGACTATCTTCATCATTGCATTGGCCCCACTCCTCACTCCCTAAACGAAGCACACATGCTTTTAAGGCCAATTGGAGTAGTTATTAAGCTTCAAAATTCATATAAATTCTTCAAATGTGCAAGAACTAAATAAATACTTTGTAGCTAATATTTGATTGGAAAATTGATGGTGTTGCATTTTATGAAAATGATCTATACCAATTCTATTGAAGGTAATTAACCTTGAATGTGAAAGCCTGCTGTGGTTTTAAAATGGAGGCATTAATTCAAATTAATATTGGAGATTTTCTCTATCTTATGATACACTAATTCAGATATTCAGAGGCATACCAAAGTATGTGAAGATCGTGGAAGTTGGTGCAAGGGATGGGTTACAAAATGAAAAGAATGTGGTGCCCACATCTGTGAAGGTAGAACTAATTCAGAGGCTTCTTTCTGCTGGATTGTCTGTTGTTGAGGCCACAAGCTTCGTATCACCCAAGTGGGTACCTCAGGTATCTTTTCTTTCACCAGGGCTTGTGCTATCACTGCATTACATTTGTGTTTCTTGGAAAGAGGAGGACATCTCTGGCAAGCTACATTGCATTTGTACATTATGTTTGTGTTCTTTTACTTACTTGCGCTTCTTTTTAAAATGTTTATCTCCTAGAGTCTTTTGTCCCTATAACTTTGCACGAGTTTTTTGATGTTTTATATATTTAACCAACAAGGTTCTGGTGAAGACTACAATGAGTGCCAGCTTTTGGTTCTGTATTCTCACTCCTATTAGAGAAGAAATATTCTTAGACATTGTAAATCAAAATAGAAACAAAGGAATAAAGGTAGAAAAAACTTCCTTTGATGGCTGTTAATAAATGGGTATCATAAGGTACTCGGTGGTAACCGAAATATACACCGCCACTATTGACAGGTAAGATAGAAAAATAGGTAAACTATGATCTTTTGCAATTATATGATCTAGAATAACATGAAAGGTACCAAAGGGTCTTTGGCCTAGCCTTGTCTGGTAACCCAGTAGCGCCCAGCCTCCCGGAAAGTCAGGGGTTCAAACTGAGATTGTGTGATTATTTGCCGTATATAAATATTATATACTTCAAAAACTACATGAAAGGTACACCAAGGCATATGTGACTAGAATATACTACAACATTGTTCTTGTTTCACAAAATATATTCTCCTTTAATGCCTATCTTACCAATCACCATTTGATGCGTCTGTAGACAGCAAATAAGTACCTTTCGTTTGGGGACACCACGTAGCAATACTACGACGTTGAATTTTTCTGAATTTGTTCCCTTTATGTGTGTATATATGTTAATCATACCTTGGGATTGAACAAAAAGAAGACTAGGTTTATAGAGTGAATCATGTAGATTTGAAAACTGGTCCTGATAAGTTTTTTGCTACCTGAAATCTTAACAACAAAATCCTTTCTCACCAAGAATGACAGTTGATGACATCAGAGGCTAAAATCAGCTGTTTAATACGTTATACATGTTACTGAACTCAAAGTTTGGTTGTTTACTTTCTGGCTTTATATGACATCACCTCAATGTTATTTTTGGGAAGTTAAGTTCTGTGTCAGGCACAAACACGCATAGTAATATATATATATATATATATATATATATCTATATAGACGAAGGGTCGTGTGAGAATAGGAGTTAAGATGAGAAGTTTAAGAAGGGATTTGGACCCTTGATCACTTTTAATCTCAAATCAACCCATGAATTGGCTTTAGAAGGGAATTGATCCGGTGCTTCTCATTATTGTTGATCTAGTGGAGCTCTTCAATTAGGATTGATCAAAGGGTGGAGATCCCTTCTTACTCTTCTCACCATAACTCTAATTCTCACCGGAACCCAACCCTATGTATATATTTGGAGTAACATTTATGAAGCTTTATGTTTCATGTATCACTTAATTTTACTGTCATATGTGTATTGCTATCTATATCTAATTATTATTTTTGATACAGCTGGCGGATGCTAGGGATGTTATTGAAGCATTTAAAAGCTTAGATACTGCAAGACTGCCTGTATTGGTACCTAATTTGAAAGTGCGTGATCTTTCTTTAAAGTTAGAAAATAATTAATTATATCAATGCAAATGAACTTATAATTTTTGATTTGTTTCAACTAGGGTTTTGAAGCTGCTGTTGCAGCTGGGGCAAAGGAAATAGCTGTTTTTGCATCAGCATCCGAGTCCTTCTCAAAGTCCAACATTAATTGTACCATTGAAGAAAGTCTTACCCGTTACCGTGCTGTTGTTCAGGCTGCTACAAAGCTCTCGATTCCCGTTCGTGGGTATGCTTTCAATTCCTTATAATACTCACCAACAACGATGTCCTGTTTCTTTTCTTATTCTTTTTCCATAAATTCAATTTACTGTTTGACATAGTTTGTAATAAATATAGGTATGTATCTTGTGTGATTGGATGTCCTGTTGATGGAATGATTCATCCATCAAAAGTTGCATATGTTGCAAAAGAGCTTCATGACATGGGTTGTTGTGAAATATCACTAGGTGATACAGTAGGGATTGGCACACCAGGTAATTATCAAAGTCCTATTGATTTTGTATATTTTACTCATGGAATATGTATAGTTTTTCCCATCAGCAGACTTCTGATTTTAATTAGACTTTGGAAGACAGGCCCCATGCATCACTATTCAGTCCTGTTGCCATTTTTATTGTCTCTTCGAAATTCATATACCTCCATTGAACATCCATCTTCAGTTTCCTGCATTCTTATAATTATTTATTGGTAACTGAAATATTTAAAAGTTTGGCCGAATAAAGTCCACAAAGTCCGAGTCAATTGCTACATACACTCGAACCAGTCAGCTCTCCCTGTGGGAGATTGGTTTGTCCATGGTAGGGGCTGATAGCATCCACCGGAAGAAAACCGGAGACCTCTCATCTCATGAGACGAGAAGCGACATGATGATTGCTTTTGAGCCAATTCCCAAGCGTTATTTTAGTCTTATCTTGATCATGGTACCATTTTATTTCTTTAGTTCTCATTAGCTAATAGCTATGTTGTTAATTGCGGCGCTATTGGGCTGCAATAGCGAATTGCAGACTAAGGTAAAATTGCTGTGAAAATTGCATTTCCGATATTAGCAGCGCAATTGACCGATATTTGAGGTTAAATTGCAGACCAATACTCCGATATTTTAGTTTGGGCCTCTTTAGAACTATGTTGTTATAATATATTTATTTATTTTTGGGCTTCTATATTGAGTTTTTGACTTGGGCTTCTAATTAGATTTGGGCCCTTATCAACATACGGTTTATAAACGTAAATTAAAAGGTTAGGTTTTCAATTTATTTCCAATATCGTATCCTTCCTTACTGAGTTCTACGACAACAGCAGTCAACCAAGAGCTCTACTGAGTCGATGACAACTTCTGCTCCACTCCACCTTCTTCTTCATCGTCGATTCTCAATGGTGAAACTATATTTTTAATTGAGGCATGCATATATATATGTATACTATATATATATATGTATACTATATATATATATACATATATGTATATATATATGTATGTAGGGGTAGGTTCAAATAAAAACCACTCAATTTGTAAAAACCGTGAAAACCTCATTCAACCAATCATAATTTTTTATTTTATTCATTTTTTTGTAATTATGAGATGTTGATTAACCATTTTTATTGTGGAGGGTGTTAATCATGAATATTATCATCTTCATTATTTTAATTTTAGAGAAATACATGAAACAGTTTCATTAAAATTTCATTAATTAATATATGAAACAATTTTATAACCACATATGAAACAACTTCATCAAAAAAAGTATTATATGAAACAATTTCACAAGATTAACAATTTCATGAAAAAAATTCACAAGATTAACAATTTCATGAAAAAATTTCATAAGATTAACGATGGATGAGAGTAGTTTTTACGGTTTTTACAAATTGCAGTGGTTTTCATTTGATCGCTCCTCTATGTGTGTATACTATATATATATATATGTATATATATATATGTATATATATATATGTATATATATATATATGTAGAGTTAAATGAGAAGCATAAGAAGGGATCTAGACAAGAAGGAATCTGGACGCTTGATCTCCTTAATCTCAAACCCACCCATGAATCACACTTGATACAGGGATTAATCCGGTGCATCTTGATGCATCTCATCCTAACGTGCATCTTCTTACGCTTCTAGCCTTAACTCTCCATCTCACCAGAACCTAACCCTATATTTTACATATATATAATTCTAACAAATATTACATGAATCGCTATTTTTTGGACAGTTATAACAACGCTATTTCAAATATCCGTCTTGACCGCAATTTTGTATTTTCACCGCTATAACAACATAGGCAAATAGTCTAATTCTTGTACTACATGTACACAGATTCAAGTTCAAGGACTACCGAAAGAAATATGTTGTGAAGTACCTTCTTATTTGCTAGTTTTAGTATCGTTCCCCAGTTATGCTTGTTCAAGTCGTTGGAGTTTACTTGGGATAACCCAAAGATCCTGAGGGGGAGCTCGAGCCCTAGATATAGATGTCTTGGAAGTGCTTTAATGCCAATGCTTATAGGTTTCCGAATGAATTATCAGGGGTGCATCAATGGCGGGTGACAGAAGTTTTCACCCCATCGGCTTACTCAACTAAGATGAGATCTCCCGTGTCTTCAAAAAAGCGTCTTAATATTCATCCCTGCTATGGTAAAATAGTAGTATTGTTTGATCGATGGTAACATTTCAAAATTTCAACAAATGAAAGCAACAAAATAGCTTCACCTAGCCCCGGAAGAGACTTATTCAGAATAATCGTACGGCTTAAGTCTAATCTTAGCATCTATAGATATGAAATATGTAGCAGATATAATAGAAAATTGCAACCCACATATAGATTTTACTTCACATCAGATGCAATGTTCAGTAAACAGTTCAATCAGAGTAAGAGCATGTCATTATTGCTTTTTGGGGAGATAACACCTACGCCAATCAGGGGCGGATTTAAGTATACCCTAGGGGGTCCTGTGCAACCGGCCAATTGTCTTGATGTAGTGGAAAATTTTTAAGACTCTTAAAAGTGCCACCATTGTCCTAACGTAATGGAAAAAATGTACTACTCTTTAAAATTTATGACTCTTAAAAGTTCCGAAAAGCTGAGAGGCTTCAATTGCATATCGAAACATAAATTTGAGTTTTAATGGATGACAATGTTGAACACAAAAACCCTATCTACAATTGTTGAAATTAGATCTGATTTCTTAGTGTTTTGTCCTGTATTTCTTAGTATTATTTTTAATTCATGTATAACTTGTATGCAGGCACAGTTATCCCGATGCTTGGAGCGGTCATGGCGGTGGTTCCTGTCGAAAAACTTGCAGTTCACTTCCACGACACTTATGGCCAATCTCTTCCGAACATCTTAGTATCCCTCCAAGTAAGCTAATTTCTCCATGGAACTTGCACACTAATAACATGCTAATATTATTTGATTACTAGTCAAATACACCCTCCTTCCTGAAATAATTGTATACAATTCTGTTTAAGTTTGTAACAAAATACTCCTTCCGTCCCAAAATAAGCTTCCACATTTCTGTTTTAGTTTGTCCCAAAAAATTGTCCACTTTCAAAAGTATCTATTTACTTTCCATTCTACCCTTAATTATAAGATGGAAGCAATTTCCTCTATTATTAAGGGTAAAACTTTCTTTTGGCTAATAAAAAAGTGTAATAATTAAACAATCCTAAAACTGATACCATTTTCATTGTGGACATTTCTTTTGGGACGGAGGGAGTAATTATAACTTAGTAAATTTCCAAATTTACCATAAGTTATGATGCACAAAATAGTTAAAAGAGTTGATGAGTGGGAGACACAAAAGGGTGATAGTTATTATTTGTTAAGGGTAAACTTTTATTTTGTTGTGGAATTAAGTATAGTTAATATTGTTGTTGATAGATGGGAATAAGCACAGTGGATTCATCGATTGCGGGTCTAGGAGGGTGTCCGTATGCCAAGGGAGCTTCAGGAAACGTTGCGACTGAGGATGTGGTGTACATGCTGGATGGCCTTGGTATCAAAACCAACGTCGATCTGGGTAAGCTCTTGCAAACAGGTGAGTTCATCTGTAAGCATTTAGGACGCCCATCGGGATCCAAGGCTGCTGTCGCTTTTACTTCTAGGATATAAGAAAGTAGTCGTTTATATATATATATATATATATATATGTATACATAGCCAAAAATGGAGATTAATATTTGCCAGTTACAAGCAACTTGTTCAACTGGTCTTGTACCATTCTGAATCAAACAGAATAACGCATGTGGTTACTATATAAAGATACCTAATTCATAGCAAAGGATTATTCTCTTTTTGGTGTGTATGCTCAAAAGTCAATGAAAGTCATGATTTAATACAAGCCATTGTCGAATTATTATATTTATATTGTATTTGTGTTTTACCATTAAACATAATAATGTATTTTAGAATGTCAATGGCCCGAGTATATTTTGACCTTAGGTTGTAGTAATCCTATACTGACTAGCATATATGGGGATTCACATAAAGATATACGATTCACATATCGATATCTGATGGGGATCATGAGAATACTTCATTGGAAGTCATATGAGTATCGTAGGTTTGTTTTTTCATGTGGTCATTGTATATGTAATGTAGTAATTTGACTTGAGATTATGGAGTTTGTTGTGTTGAGTTGTCTGCTTTGACACTAATTCAAATGTATTATAGAACTGTGTAACAAAGTAGTCGTTGGATAAGTCATGTATCACTTGCGAATTGTTTACTTGACAAGTGATAATGATAGGGTAAGAGACTTTGAGTAATCAGGGACTAAAAATGCATGTTTACCCAAGGTTATGTAGTGTGCAGACTAATAAAAAAGTTATCCTTTTTAACTTTTTGTATTATTAAGTGTTAAATGAAGATATAACCGTTTATATAATTAAGTGTTGAATGATGGAAACTTACAAATTTTATAACCTATATTTATATCTAGACGATATATATATTCTATTGAAATTCATTCATTCATTCATATCTTGATACAACTAAATATCAAACTTGGATACTAAAAATAATTGTTCTCCATTTGTTGTGTTTTTTGCAACGTTCTTCCAGTTAGGGATAAAAATGGGGTGGAGAATGCATTCTCCGTCCATTGGTTCTTATCCAGTTACATGTTCTTATTAGAACCTAAATGTTTAAACAAGAACTCTGGTTTTTGTATATATTCGTTTTCGGCTATTATTTTATTTATTGTTTCTTAACTATCTTGAGAAAACATTTTCCTTACTTTCCATTTTCCGCATTAATCGTAGGTTTCTTGGGTTACAAAGATTTTCAACCTTTTCCATACTCATGACTAGAGATCGGGTAAAAAGGCGGGACTTTTGTGTCCGGATAATACTTCAACAGACTACACGCTTGTTCTTAATCGATTCATATTTTTTGAAGTCTATCTCTCCCGGCCAGTCTTCTTTAGAAGCAGATAAAGCTCGGATCGAATAAAACTTGTACTAGGTTGGACCGAACTTGTCCATATTTTTTATTTTATTTATTATGTTCAAATTTTGTTTACAGAATCAAATTAATAAATTGTTTATAGAATGAATTATAGTGACGATTCTTATGGTTTGCTCAAAATTTGGATTTATTCTCTAAAACAAATTATTTATATGGATGGTCTATAACTTTTCAATTTCATTACATTTATGATTTCTGAAAGTAATACTGTCAATTAGCAACGCTATAAGAAACAAATCAATACTTGGGTAAACTATCGGAACCAATAGTATAGTGCACTCACAAAAGAGTCTTTGACCTAGCAGTATGTGAGTTTTTGGCCTTCTAGGAGGTCAAGGGTTCAAACCTCACTAACGGTAAGGAGGGTGTGTAAGTTTATTTGTTTTATTTGCCGTATACAAATATTATATACTTCAAAAAAATATAGTTCACTGTTATAAATGATAAAATAACTTTTACACTACAAAATCTTAAGTTAAGCAAAACAAAAAAAAATTAAGAAAAAAATTCACATATATTTTAGGTTAAGTATTGAAATATGTAAGTAGAATATCTTAAATTAATCACCGTTTATTTACGATATTTTTAGATTTTTATTTTATTATTATTTTAATTATTTATAGTTTGACTATATATTAATAACCTCATTTTTATCATACTTAACTTGTAATACTTAACTTACATATTTTAATTGATTTCCTTTGTTTTTTTAAACTTAAGATTTTATAACGCAATAATTATTTTGTCAATTTAGTAATTTTTTAAACTTACTTTGTTATCCATCGTTCCTTGCCATGTTTGCCATTGATTTTAATAAGTTTTCCATATTTTTGTTTATATATGAGTATTCTAATCTTTTTATCTTCTGTTGAAGAACTACGATCTTCAGTTTTTCAAAGATTCGTATTTATTGTGATAGCACTAGTGCTATTGTAATCGCAAACAACCATGTACTTCATTTCAAGATCAAACATATAGAAATCAGATATCATTTTATCAGAGATCATGTTATGAATGATGATATTGAACTTCACTTTGTTCCAACTGATTATTAGTTCTCTGACCTTTTCACCAAGCCTCTTGATGAGACAAGATTTAACATCTTGATCAGCGAACCGGGGATGCTAAATGCTGAAGAATAATTTTGTTCAGCTATACACATCAATGAGAAAGTGAAATGATTCAGTGCTCTATCTCTATCATTGAACTCTTGAGTAAATGTATCTACTCTCTCTAAGGTATGTATACTTGTTCTTTCTCTAAAAACTTAAGACTATCACTGAACTTTTTCTTTCTTCAGTGATCAAAACGTTTTCAAAGATTGTCTTAGTGATTCTTTCATTCGCTGAATATTTTTTATGAAAGTATATCTCTTTTATACTTATCATTTCTTAAAATCAAAATGATCACTAAACCTTTCTATCTTCAGTGATTCAAATGTTTTTAAATGTCAGTTTCAGTGATTCTTTTATCACTGACACTGAAATTTTTATGAGAATATACTCTTCTAAGTTATTTTCAGTTCTTAGATCAAAATTATCACTGAAGCCTTTCTTCTTCAGTGATCAAAATGTTTCATAAGGTTTTTATTCAGTGATTAACTTATCACTGAATGTGACTCTTTGTTTTTCTTAAAACCTTAAAATTTTAAAAGAAATAGTTAACGAACCATCTTTATGACGACATTCTCTGTTTTCAATACGATATACATTGAGACGTGCGTAAAAGTCTGTCACATGCGACCTCCTCCAACTTCCATCCAATCATGGATAAGAACGTGTCATTTCTTCATCATGGTGTTTCCTCAACAGTCGTATTTTCTTCTCTCCTATTTTTTTCTCTTTCCTTCTACCTATAAATATGAGACTCTTCCTCTCATATTTCCTTTACGCTTACATATATCTTTGACGAACCTCTGCCAAAAGATCTTTGCAAACAAGAACTCTAAGAACTTGAATCCTTCGACCTTCTTCTCAAACAACTCTAAGGTCCATACTTACTTATTTATTTTAATATTAGAACTGTTCTTCTCCTTCTTATGAAACAAATGTTTGAGATTTTAAGAACCTTGTTCTCATAAAACACAAACAGAAAGATTAATAACACATTCTCATTCTTGGTTATAATCTTGTTTCAAAACATAAATCTACTTGGAAAACCCTAATATCTCTCTTGAGGATTTTTCAAAAGAAGTTTTACTGTTCTAAAACTTAAAAAGATAACAAATCTTGGACAAATAACAACTGTTATTTCTTGTTTCTTAAAACCTATAACAAGCAATGGCTGCCAAGAATGTTAACTTCTTCGTTGAGGACATCTCTGTTGGTCCCGTAAGGGTCTACAAGAATAGAAACAGTTTGTAGAAGGGGGGGATGAATACAAACACAGTATTTTCAAATTTAAAATATATATATTGATAGAGAAGATCAATACAGATTTTACAAGACTGTTTGCGGAAAGATAAGGTAAAGAAAACCTATCTAAACAATCTTTGGTTACACAC